GCTCTTCTGTACTTTCGGGCACTGGGGACAGTCTATTTCCTGCCTGGGCCTAGAATCGGCCACTTCTCCCCAGGGCCCCAAGGAGCCCGGGCCACTTGCACTGAGATCGCTTTCTCGTGGCTGGCAGCAGAGCAGGCCTCTCTGTAGCGACCTCACCGTAAGCACGTGAGGAATGTGTCGTCGTGCCCTACCATGGTGGGACGTCACAAGCCAGTGGGGTTTTCCAGTTCTGTTACACTCTTTGTTGTTTTGAGACAGGGTCTCACTCAAGGTGATCAGCCTGCCTCAGCTTCGTGGATGTTGGGATCACTGTTGTGCACCAGTCTAAACACTGTTACAGGGGCCAGGGAGATGGCTCAGTGGAATAAGTGCTTCCCTGGCAAGTGCAAGGGCCTGAGTTCAATCCCTGGTTCCACCAAAAAAAAAAACCCACTGTTACATCTTTTTTTTTTTTTGAGACCAGGTTTCACTATGCAGTTCAGGCTGGCCTTGCACTCACGCTGTGGCCCAGGCTGGCTTCAGATCAAACTCACAGTGATACTGTGCCTCCTCCTGCCTCAGCCTCCAAACTCTGTTACTCTCTTAAGGGACCACTATGACATATTGGGTCCACGGCTACCCAAAGTGTAGCTATGTGGTGGGTCCATAACTGTAGAGATATTTGGACTTATCTTCTTCCTGTGGTAGCAGGAATTGAACCCACGGAACCACATCCCAAGCCATTTTTGTTTTATCTTATTTTTTAAATTTATTTATTTATTTGTGGGGGGGCAGCTCAGCCCACCTAGGGGCGGGGCTGGCTGGCATGTGGTGCTGGGGACTGAACCGCGGTCCCTGGGCTTTGCTAAGTTTGTTCTAAGTAGGTGCTTTAGACCACTGAGCCATCTCACCAGCCCCTTTGTTTTATTTTTTTGAGACAGAACTTTACTCAATTGCCCAGGCTGGCTTCAAATACCACAGCTAGCATCCTGAGCTGCGTGTGACCCTTTCCTTGGGTTCTGGGGGCTCCTTGAACTATATCTCAGGTGCTTGGTGGCCGCCCCCACACTCCTGGCCACCCCACTTTGCACAGGCCCCTCCCCCAACCCTGGAGGTAAGTAGTGCTCCCCTGACCTCAGGAAGGTCTCCACTCGCCCTGAACTCTCAGCAGCCCTTGGCTTGGTGATACTGTATCTTATTTTATTCTTTCTGTGGGCGCTGGATTCCTCCATTTTCCCATGTGAATATGAAGGTGCTGGCAACAGCACCCGCCTTTGGAAGTCTGGTTAAGGTTAACGGACTCCATCCATGTAAAATAGGACTCAAGTCCTTGCAGCCAATAAATCCCTAAGCTGCCCAGGCTGGGCTCAAATTTGTGATCCTCTTGCCTCAGCCTCCCCGGGCACTGAGATTACAGGCAGGTACTGCAGGGCTCCGTTTACTAGAAGACTGTTCAAAAAAGCCAACCACCGTCGCCTGGACTTGGCTCTGGGAGCTGGACTGCGGAGGCATCCAATTCTCCCCTGTCCCACAGCACAAGCACCTGATCATCCTGCTGCACCAGATGGGAAACCCAAGACTGAAGGGGTCCCCAGGGTCACACAGCCATAGATGTTGCTGGGCTGGGACCCGAAGCCAACCGGCCTGGGCTGCAATGACGTCTGTGCTCCTTCCGGAAGCGTGTGCACAGGCCTGACTGGGGACGTAGAACTGGGTCATCCCTGTCCTGGCCGTGGAGGCCTGGGCTGCGCTCATTCGCAAACTCTTCCCTCAAGGCACCCCCCAGCTCCACAGAAGCCTGGGGCTGCAGGCTCAAGACCCAGAGCCAGAGAAGAGCTTGTAATTAGAGGTCCTGAATAAACTGCTGCAAGAAGAAAAAAAAAAAGACCCAGAGCCACCTGGCTGGCTCTCAGTGTCCCTCTGAGCTGGACTGCAGCAAGGCAGGCACCCCCAGAATGGTACCCACCAGACCTCAGTGTCGCTTTTCAGCCCTTGCTTCTCTGCCTCAGTGACACCCAGGGAGACCCTGTCTCACTGCACCCAGGTGGACTACAAATGCTTATTCTACTGAGCCATCTCCCCGGGCCTCCCAACTCTGTTTTTAAACTTGACCTGATGAGTGGATCTGCAGTCATGTGTGTCCCCACCCTCTGCTGGGGCTGTTGATATAGCCTGGTTTAGATCAGAGGTATTCTGTCCCACAAACCCAAGGACTGTTCTAGAAGAACTAGAATAATTCAAAAATTGACATTTTCTAGGAGTTCACTCCATATCAGACATTGCTGTAAGTATACATTGATTGATTGACTGATGGATTGAGTGTCCTGCTATGCATTTCAGGCTGGCCTTGAACTCACTATGTAGCCCATTCTGGCCTTGTGTTCGTGGCAATCCTCCTGCCTCAGCCTCCCGAGTGCCGGGATAGGTGTGCACCACCACAAAGGCTTATGGTCTAACATTTTACAAGGATGGAGTCTGTTAACCTTTTTTTTTTTTTTAAATTTATTTATTTATTTGTGTGTGTGTGTGTGTGTGTGTGGCCAGCTCAGCCCACCAGGGGGCGGGCTGGCTGGCATGTGGTGCTGGGGGATTGAACCGCGGTCCCTGTGCTTTGCTAAGCTTGTTCTAAGTAGGTGCTTTAGACCACTGAGCCATCTCACCAGTCCCGAGTCTGTTAACCTTAACCAGACTTCCAAAGGGGGGAGCTATTGCTAGCACCTCCATATTCAGAGGGAAAATGGACACACAGAGAGCGTCACTGGAGTGAGGTCACGCAGCTGTACACAGGCAGGGCTAGACTTCGCCACACTTTCCTAGAAGGAGAGAACGGAGCCAGGCGGCCTCCTGCAGGTGTCCACAGCTATCCTCTCTGGGTGTCAGGGTCCATTGGGGTGTCAGGGTAGAAGTCCCTCAGGTCTGAATGCAGCAGAGGCCCACGGTGCTGCGTGGGTGTGAGGCTGCGGAAGTTGGTGGCCCCGGGGGAAGTTCTGCAGGGGACCGTTCCGGGAATGGAGGCCATGGCCCCCAGCGGGCCGGTCCCCACTGACCAGCCACTGTCACAGGGGCTGGGGCCACTTTCTGGTCCATTACTTGGGCCCAGACATCGCCCCCCACCAGATTCATCTCAGAGTGTGCCACACGTGTGCCCTTCATGCCGAGGACACCATAAATCTGCCACCAGAAAGGCGTCAGTTTATTGACAGTTCAGAGGGAACTTGAGGTAGCTTCCTCCAAAACATACACAACAACAGTTAAAAATAGATCAAGAGAGATCAGAAACCAGGGAGAGGAAGGCAGAGACAACTCTAACAGGAACTTGAGGAACGAAGACTAATTTTGGATGTTAAGTTTAGTTTGAGCTTCCTGGCACCCCAAGCAAAAAGGGTGAGGGGCACGGTAAGTCCTTGATTGGGGCTCAGAAAGCAAGTGTCCCAGGCTTTCAGGAAAGTGAAACTTCTGAGGACAAGATACAGCAAAGTAGGAAGCGCAGAAAGGAGGCAGACGCTTACCGAATCTGCGTCCTCCCCAGAATGGCTCAGCCTTCCTGAATCTCGGCCATTGTGTCCAGAAACTAGAGTGGTGGCATTTAATGGCCGATCACTTTGCTGGGCTGCAGTGGGACCCCAGAGGACACACGTGAGGGTGTCTGGGTGCTGGGCACACCTTCCTCCAGGAGCAGCATCCAGCGTGAGGAGCAATCCATCGGCTACAAAGCATTCTGCACCCCACTGCAGCATGGGGAACTCTGAAAAGCAGAGCGCTGTGTTTAAATTGTAATCCAGAAGGCGGGCGGGGTGGCACACCCCTGTAATCCCAGCAGTCAGGAGGCTGAAGCAGGGGGAAGCACCTTGAGTTCAAGGCCAACCTGGACTACATAGTGAGTTCAAACTCAGCCTGAACTGCACAGTGAGATCCCAAATAAATAAATAAATAATGCTGCAACCCACCCAAAGCAGGGCTACAGACAGGTGCCAGGTCTATGCCACCGAGGATCTCTTTGGTTGGGTGAGGCCTCTGCCAAGGCTCAGGGAGCAGAGTCAGAGGTAGGGGAAAGGGGGACTGTGAGCCCCAGAAACCTCAGGGAGAAGGTGCTGGGCTCTATCCTGGAGGGAGCCATAACTCCTCCAAGCCTGCAGCCATGAGCCAAGAGCCCCAGGTCATTGCAGCCAATTGCCCAGTCTTCCCAAGCCCGGCCCCTCTCCGAGCCAGAAAGGGCACACATAGCCTCCAAAGCCAGCAGCAGCGGACGCTTGCTCGGGATGAAGAGCCCCCTGCTCTCCACCTTCGATGCTTACCTGTCCATGCAGTAGCCACATTAGGGCTGGTGCTTCGCACACTCAAGGACTGGGGTCCAATCCCCAGCACGCAGAATAGCAACGACAGAAAAGAGGTGGTATACAGCCCCATCATTTGTGAGCAATTGCCCAGCTCATGCCCAGCTCTTCATAGAAGGAGGTGAGAGCACTACTGGAACTGTATACCTGCCACTCGCTCCTCATCCTATGCCCTATTATTGATTGATTGATTGATTGATTGATTGATTGACAGGATATTGCTATGCTGCCCAGGCTGCCTCAAACTCCTAGGGATTCTCATGCCTCGGCCTCTCAAGTGCTGACATGACAGACATATGTCACCATGTCTGACTCACACCCCATTTTCTTAAGAAACTGCGCCCAGGGCTTCTCCCTGGGCCCCCCTCCACCTCCCTCTCTCCCAGTTGCCCTGCGTTGGCACCCGGACCCTCCTTGGGCACACAGCTGGCAGTCACCTCTGTTTGCTCCACCTCCATCCGCACCTGGCGCTATGCAATGGCAGGCGAATGTGGAGTTGTACCGGCTCAGGGACTTTATCTGCTGCCTTGCTTTTCATGGGAAGAAAACTTGTTTGGAACAGGGCAAAAGACCGCTTCCAAAGACCGCGGACCCGCCGCCCCAGCCGCGAGGGCAGTGGGAGGCGCGGCGAGCAGCTGGTGTTTTTCCTGTTCCGAGAGGACAGCAGCAAAGCGGGAAGCGGCGCTGCGGGCTGCGGCTGCGGCTCTGCGCCCCGCCTCCGCGTCCCTCACTCGCGCGCTGCGCCCTCGCCGGAGCGGCCGCGCCCCGGGTAAGCAGCGCCCTGGCCAGGGAGGCGGGAGGAAGTCCACGGACTCGGGGGTCGCGCCCTTGCTCGGGGGTGCTCCTGTGCCCCCAGCCCGTGAGCTCTGGCCCCGAGCAACTCGCACGTCCGGCCAGCGGGTCATGGCGCCCCTGGCCAGGCTCCGGGACATGGGTTGGGCTGGGGGGAACTCGGGATTGGGGGACACGGTCTAGACTGCCCTGGGGACATCGTGCGCCCCCCCCCCGAGGCGCCCACTTGGAGCGCGCCTACTCTGCTGTCCCGCGCCGACACCGCGCGCAGGCGGCAACCTTGGCGGGTGACCGGGTCCCGGCTGCGCTCCCCGTGACGGGGCGGCCTCGCGTGACCCGTGGAGCTGCGGGCTCCGAGCCCGGCAGCCGTCCGTCCCGAGCTTTCCGCACCCCATCCCCGCGCGGCGACCGGCGCAGTGGGGCCCGCGGTCTGGGCTCCCGGTTCCCCGGGAGGTGACATCAGCCATCAGATCTGCGACCGCGAGCCCGGGTTACAGCGGCGAAACCGCCCCCAGCTTTGCATTTCCGGACCTTTAAAAGAAAATATTCTTACCCGTAATTCGGCCTGAGTGAGGCTTTCTTTTTCTTTTAATTATAGTTTCCTGTTTTTATTTAGGCTTCCTCTTCTTGAGGTGGCCGCGAGGGGACCGGGGCCCTTTTTCCCGGGCTCCCGAGCTTGCGCTCTGCGAAGCTGGCTGTGCTGTCCAGGAGGGAGATGGGACCTAGGGACCCGGGGAGGACTTGGGAAGGCTCTGGTGGGCCGGGAGAGGGATGTGCGGGCCTTGGACCCCACCACACTGCTCCAGGGGGGCTTCCTCATATGCCTTCCTAGAAGTCCGACGGGGCCCCAACAAGTGTGTGGGCATGGCCACCTTTGGAGAGGAGGATACTTCCCCTTTCACGATTTGCCTAGGGAACAGTTCCCGGCCCCAGAGGGACCACAAGGGAAGGGCCATCCTTGGAGGAGGATCACTAGTGTTCTTGTCAATAGGTTTGTACGGTAAGACTCCCACCCTAAGACTCCATCCTTTTCCGTGTGTTTGCAATGAGCTCTCATAATGAGATTGTCTCCATTTTAAAGACCAGGAAACTGAGGGTTAAATAATCCAAGACACAGGCAGGACTGCTGCGCACCTGTAATCCCAGCATTCAGGAGGCTGAGGCAGGAGGATCACTGTGAGCTCTGAGGCCAACGTGGGCTACAGAGTGAGTTCAAGTCCAGGCTGAACTACATAGCAAGACACTGTCTCAAGAAAAAAATCAAGGGCCAGGGACATGGCTCAGTAGAATAAGCGCTGGCCTGGCAAGCACAGGGGCTTGGGTTCAATCTCCAGTTCTGCCTTACCAAAAAAAAAAAAAAAAAAAAAATCAAGGCTCATGCAGTTTACAAGGAGCTCATGGGGAGTCCTGGCAGATGCTGGAGTGCTCTGCACCTTGCTCTGTGGCCCTGATCCTAATGGTTCTCTCTGTGTAGGGTGTCGGAGAACAGGAATGAGGGTATCCCTGGTGCTCCCCTGTGAAATTCCCTGGAGGGACAGGTGCCCTGGGGAAGACTGAGGGCTCTCGCGCCACCTCCATGGTTGCTCCTCTTCGAGCTCTTGCCAGTCCCATCAAGGCTACAGAGACTCCCTTGCCTGCTCTGGAAGGGACCCAACTGGGTCCTGAGCTCTGCCATCCCTGTCCTGCTATGTTCAGGAGCCAGTCGCTGGTGACAGCAAGGCCCTGGTGGCCTCTGGAGTGGAGGCTGTGCCCAAGGCCAGTGCCGGCCATGCCCAGCTCTTTCTGTTTCGTTCCTGCAGCTCAGTGCAAGAGCGGGAAGGGTGGGGGGCCAGCACAGGGCCTGGAGAGCTGAGCCTGCTGGCAGAGAGGAGAGGAGAGGCCTCCTCCTCTGTGACAGGGCCTCGTGGAGAGCAAGGCTGCAAACCTCCACCCCTCGCCCTGCAGTTCACTAAACCCTGAAGGGCCCGCTCACGAATGCAGCGGGCGGAAATCCCCTGCAATCATATCAGAAACACTGGCAGTTTCAAGGTGGAAGGAAAACACCACCCTGGACCCCCTTCCCTTTCCCTGTAGCCCAGCCTGTGGCTTTCTGTGAGCTGCACCAACACGAGCCCCTCTGCATCCAAGAGCCCACGTGGTGAGTCCCGGAGCCCCTGAAAGTTCCCTGTCCTCGGGCTGGCTGTGAGCGCCCTCCTCCCCCAAGGTGAGGCCAGGTGCCCAGGAGCCGGTGCTTTCCAGAGCCGGGTGGCTAGGCACCCTGGGCACCGGGAGATGGGCAGGAGCATGGGCGTGGAGGCTCAAAAGCGGCACCAGCGAGGGACAGTGTCCCTCGTGCTGAGAAGAGAAGCAGGCCAGTGGTTGAAGCTGAGGAGGCCCGAGGCAGACCTTGCTCCCTCCAGGGGCTTTGGGGGATCCTTCCTGCTCTTCCAGCTTCTGGGGGCTCCTGGTAGTTCTGTGGCTGCTGCTCTCCACCTGGTCTTTTTGTGTGAAGCTCTTCGTCTTCCTTCTGGAGTACAAGGGATTGAACCCAGGGCCTCTGCACTGAGCTACATCCCCAGTCCTTTTGCGTGTTTCATTTTGAGGCAGAGTTTCTCTAAATTGCCCAAGCTAGGCTCAAATTTGAGATCCTCCTGCCTCAGCCTCACAGAGCACTAGGATTATAGTTGTGCACTATGGCCTGTTCCTCCCCTGCCCCATCTTTTTGAGACAGGATCTTACTGTGCAGCTCAGGCTGGCCTTGAACTCACTTTGTAGCCCAGGTTCCTCTCAAACTGGCAGTACTTGCAGTGATCCTCCTGCCTCAGCCTCCGGAGAGCTGGGATTACAGGTGTGTGCCACCATGCTTGGCTTTTTTATCTCTTATAAGGACATTTGTCACTGGGGTTAGGATCCACTCAGATAATCCAGGAAGAAATCATCTCAAGGTCCTTAACTTCATTACATTGACAGACAAAAACCTCTTTTGCATGTGATTATTTTTCTAACCAATGTGCAGTCTCAGGGTTAACATGTGGACATATCTTTGGGGAGCATAGATAGGAGGGATGTCCCTTTCTTTTAAACATTTTTTTAAAAATATTTTTGGGGCCGGGGAGATAGCTCAGTAGAATAAGCGCTTGCCTGGCAGCACAAGGGCCTGAGTTCAATCCCCAGTTCTGAAAAAAAAAAAAAAAAAAAAATTTGGTACAGAGTCCCACTATGCAGCTCAGATTTGTAGTGATCTTCCTGTTTCAGCCTCCCCAGTGCTAGGATTACAGGGCTGGCACGGCATGTGCTACCAGGGATCCAACCTGGGTCCTTGCGTTTGCCAGATAGGTGCTTAGACCACTAAACTATCTCCCCAGCCCTCTTCCTTCCTTCTTCCTTCCTTCCTTCCTTCCTTCCTTCCACTTTCCCTCTCTTTTTTCTTTTCTATTTTTTATTTCTTTTTTTTTTTTTTTGAGGCAGAGTCTTCCTATGTTGCCTAGACTGATCTCAAATTTGCAGTGATCCTCCTGCCTCAGCCTCCTGAGAGCTTAGATTACTGGCACTGACCACCTCCATGGGCTAAAGGGATGTCTTTCTGTGCCTTCTGGAGAAGGCACTGGCCCCCCTGGCGTGACCCTCCCCTTGGTGACCTGAGGCCAGGATTTCACCCCTATGTCTCTGGGAGCTCTTGTCTTGAGCCCCAGCTGCAACCCCTCCCAGCAGTTCTGCTCACTGGGGCCCCTGGGGCCCTGGGGTCCCTTACCAGGAAGGGGGTGGGGGTCAGGGCTCCGAGTGGCTTCTGTGCCTAGGATTTAGCTGCCTCACTGGGCCAGAAGCCTTTGAGAGCTGGTGGTGCATGTGGGGTCTGTGGACCCCATTGCTTGAAGCTAAAGGGTGGGAGGGCACCCTTTCTGTTGTGACACTGGGAGAAGAGCTCTGTCACAGACAGGGAAGCAGAATCCAGCCCTGTGGAGGCCGGCGTGTGCAGAGGGGGAGGGTGGCAGGCCATAGTCACCCGAGGACAGTGTCACAGCCAAGCAAAGCGCTCTCCTGAGTCAGGCCCGGGTTGTAATCTCAGCTGTGTTTATCTGCTGGTGACCGTGAACACACTGCTTAATCTCTGTGAGCCGCAGAGGTGCACCCAAATAGAATACATACAGGCTGGGCTCAAACTTGCCATCCTCCTGCCTCAGCCTCCCACCTGCAGCTGGCATTACAGGTGTGCATCAGTGTACCGGCTCAGCTGTGACAGTTTGAGTACAGGTCTGTGGCATTCGGCACGTTTGCACTGCTGTCCAGTGTCACTCCTTCGAACCCCAGAGAGTCTGCCTGTCTTGCAAAATTGAAAATTTTTACCCACAACACGAATTCCGCATCTCCTACGGCCTCTGGCACACACGCGTTCCCTCTGCCTTTCAATTTGACAACTCTAGGGACCTCACATAAGTGAAATTCTACAGTGTGAGTCCTTTCATGACTGGCTGATCTAATTTATGTTTTTAATGTGGCAGTTCTTTTTTTTTTTTATTGAGCCAGGCTCTTGCTATGTAGTTCAGGCTGGCCTTGGATTCACTGGTAGGGCCCAGGCTGGCCTTGAACTCTAGGTGACCCTCCTACCTCCTCCTCCAAGTGCTGAGATAACGGAGGAGCCCCCACCCACGCCCGCTTCATGGCTGATTTGAATTAGCAAGGTGTCTCCAAGCGTCACTGAGTTGCAACGCAGGCCGAGTTTCCTGTTCAGGGCTGCATCTGCTGTGGTGCGCACCTTGGTGAGCTTGCATGCGTCCTGCCGGTGGACACTTGGGCTGCTTTCACGTGGCTATCTCCTTTTATTTACAGGCAAGTGTGTTTTGGGAACCGAGGGCTTTGCACACGCCAAGCACGTACGGTACGGCGCACCACACCCCAGCCGCTCCGACTGTTTGAGGGATGCTGCTCCAGTGGTGGGATACGTAGATCTGTCCGAGTTACGGCTCGCGCTTCTTGGCATCACTGCGGCTCCGAGGAAGC